TATTTGTTCTGAAAGCTATATACGCCTAAAAATAGTTGCAGTCAGTCTTTTTTTTTGGACAATGTATACGTACTAATTAACTCAACTTTGTGGAATAAGCGAAACTTTTTACTATGTTCTTTATTCATATTTTTATATGCCCTACTTTGCTAAAATTAAATAATCTCATATCCCAAGGTAGCACTTTCGTGATTCAATTGATACAAACTACAGTTTATGCTTTCGAATTGTGTTTTCTATTTTTCAGAGTTTATAACAAAACGATCGATAAAGAAAAATCATCAGCGATAATGTCTAAGAATTATTCTCCAAGAATGGAATATCACGGATGAAATATGACATCAATGAAATTTCATTATTCATCAAGATGGATGAACATCAATGATGAACATTGTCGACAAGCAATGCAAGACTACAGTTACAGTATAAATCAGTTTTCTTCAATCAAGTAGTATTACACTTATTGACGATTCCATATAGGATTCTTTAATATAACACTATTGAACGACACTTTTACATCAAATCAGATGGCCGATGCACAGCACTGAGAGGAAGAACATAATGAAAGATAATAGCAGTGTATTTATAGACATAGTTGAAGGAGAAGATGAATCAAAAAATACAGGTGAATACGAAATTTGAAATATATCAAAAAGTTTCGGGCACAAAAATGATCAAGGCGTCAGTTTTACCGAGTAGCTTACTTCCTAACTAACGAAGAGATTGATTTTCAATGCATAGGATGGCAAGTCATCAAAGGAGACCATCTCGGTAAAAAGAATTTTCTTACAGAGATGAAATAATACTAAGAATCTATAAGTAAAATCTGGTGGAAATATAAGAGTGAGCAGAGAATAGTTTGAGTGTAGGATATGAGTGTTGAGATGCGAAGATAGAAAAGACTTTACTGATGTGTTGTAAACTATCAGAGAATGCTCTTTAAATTTCTTCTGCTTGTTTATACTGAATCGATATTGACATCATCTATGTCCGGTTTTCTTTTTGTCTTGCTTTTCTATCGTCTTCATATTGTTCTTTAATGCACTCATCCTCTTGTCTTCTCATCATCCACTATATAAGTGCGCTCTATGCGAAGTATTTATACTCTGAAGATGGGATGTAGCTGAGGGTGGATGTAAGATAATAATAAGAGAGAGAATGGTCCTTCTTTATCAAGGAGAAAGCGCGAGTGTTAAATCGTCACAATTCTAATGTAAAGACAAGCAAAGAAGTGTGAAGACTACGTTATAATAGTGAAGAAGCAATTAACAAAAAAACGAAAAACAAACTGAATACGAAATGATTTTCAAAAACTGAATTCAACCTAACAAAACATAGTTCAATTTAATGTCTGACGACTAAGGGTTCAAATTCTAAATGACGTTAAAAAATATGAATAACTCAGAAACAGATAAAACTCTCAAAGAGATCTTCATATATGACTGAAAATGGTCACATTTTCATGTTTTCTCTAGTTTTAGAAAAGAAAGAAAAGTTTAAATCTTTCATATAATTACTTAGATAATGATGATCTTAAAATTATCTACTGGCAACAAGATGGAAAATTCATTATAGTAATAAAAATTCAAATGGCTTGCGATTCGTTTTCTTTTCTCATTCTTGCAGGTTTATGTCAACCTATTTTTCTCCCTGTTCAACTATTTTCACGTTTTTGTATGACAGTAAGCTATGTTTAAAAGTAGTTAATATAACACGAAAATGCATTTTTATGAATAGTATACGACTAACTTTCACTCAAGCCAAGTAGATATGATTTGCATAGGCAAAATGTAGAATAAAAGAAAATCAAAAATAGTTTGAAAAGAAAGAAAAGTAAAGAGCGGGAGATAATAAAGAAAAGAAGAAGTTAAAAAAAGTCAACTACTAATTAGATTAAAAAAATATATCAAAGCTTTTGTCACAGAGCTTTTCTTTTATTACATTTTTTTTTTCAAAGGAGAAATTGACAAGTTAAAATGCTACCTATAATCATACCCATGACATTCCTTTTTCATTTCATTGATCGTACTTAAGCAATAGAGGAGAAGCATATTAATCTTAGTAAATAAAACAATTTTTGTTGTTCATTTCATTTCTCATATATCACAGTGTAGAACCATTCGAGAAAGGCAATGCTTTTTCTAACAGATAATTCAAGATTTTGATTGTAGATATCAACTTTATCTAATGTACTGATTCAATGTTATTATGTCTAAAAACGTCTTTTACACAATGAAAATATGCATTAAGTTTCAGGTGACCTTATAATTTACGGGAATTTCTGATAAAGAATATAGTTTCGTGGGTTTATAACTCTATACAAACTCTATCTAAAAGCACTAGCTTCCAACATTTATTTACTTTTTGAATTATTTTAATATTTTAATAAATGTTAATATTCTTGTCAAGTTCAAATAGATCCTGATTCTTTCATAGTAAACATTGAAGAAATGTTTTCAAATTTCTACTTGAATATTGTTAAGGTTCTGGTAAATAGATTTGATAGAATATCGTATACTCGATTCTGTAATTATGACATCTTGATCTATTTAAAAGGAAACATTTGTTAGCGCAGCCACTTTGAGACTGAAGTGTGGAACTCGCATATTTCCTTCAGGTTCATTATAATAATATAAGAAAAACAGAAAGTTTAAAATCAAGATTTTTTTAATTCTTTTTGCAATTATTTGTTTTTTTGTTAATTTAAAATTATTATTATAAGCGTCGAGTTAAATGGCAAACCAGGGTATGATATAATTCTGATTATTAAGATCTATAATGAGAAGATGGAAGCCGCAATAATTTGAACTTAAATCTTACGCTCACTATTTTCTTCGAAAGTATATGTGAGATCCACAAAATAGATGGTATACCATTAAGTTATGGGTAAATAATTCTTGTTATATTTAGCATATTTCTATGAGATTGTTTTAAAATAGCTTATCATCACTGAATATAAAGAATCTAGATCGAAAAATCGATTCATCAATTAGAAGCTTTATCAATTATGAATATTATATTTTAGATAGATTTTCTGGAATGAAAATTGGATATAGTTTTAATAACGTTACGTAGAGAAACAAATTTGAAACGAAAGAGTTTGAATATTATATGAAATACGAGAACAATTTTGAAATAGGAGTTAATACTTTATATTTTAGTTCCATCAAAAGACAAGGAAGAAAATTATTCTTATTATTAATTATAATGAATTTAGATACGACTATTGAGCAGTGACAAAGCAAAATATAAGTCATTTCAATCATGATGTTAGTTTATTAATTCATGAGCAAATTTGTTTTTAATTGTTCAATGAATCAAGGCTGTAATCTAGAACATATATGTGTATAGAAGTGTTTATCTACTTCACTAGCAGTTATATCGGCATTGTAAGGATGTATGGCTGAGAGTGTGACTGTAGGTTTGAGTTCAACTAACGAGATAATTCACACCCACACTCACACTCATGTCATAATGTATCTTTTAATTTACAACTTTTGATGAGTCCAACTCAACGAAACCTATGTAAACGAAAATGGCATTTGAATTCAGAGGACTCCAGAATGTTTTCACTGCAGAAAAAGACTCTGAAGAACTTGTTAGAATAATAATTTTAATCTGTGTCAGTTGTAAAATCTAATTGATCAATTATGTTATTATATGTTTATAATTTAACACAAAAAAAATTGTTGGTGATCTCTTTACTAATTAAGGATAGTAAGATAGATCTTTGAATTAAACAAAAAGATATTTTTAAAACCAACATATGACTCGAACTCATTGAAAATAGTGTACACAAAATTATTTGTAATAAAATACTATGAAATATTTGTGACAGAAAATTATGTTATATTTTTGATTGTACGCACAAATATGTTGATTCAAAGAGATGAAACAATTATCTTTGAATGAATTTTCATTACTACCAACTCTACACGTTTTTCGATTGCATCAATACAGATGAGCTTTGATTCATTTCAAATAAACAAAATATATGACATTTCATAAGTGAAAGAGTTAATTACACTGGTCAAATCATTTTTATCATTTCTTGAGTCAATTTTAATAATTAACAATTTAGATTTTACTTTGTATCGTACTATTTTCGTCTAGTGCATCAGATGGCGCAATGATCATGTAATGTTTATCTTTTTTTCCGACATATCTATGCAACTACACAATTTATTTTATCGTTCTGTCGTCTGCACTTGAAAATTTCAAAATAAAATTAGTAATTGCATTATGTTACTTTTATTATTAATCATCTTGACTGGGTTTTATTGACATTCCATGACAAAGTAAACCAATAGAATTTTTCGATGAATCGGTGAAAATTTTTGAAAAAGTTGTAAAGTGTTATTTCAAAATGAAACAGTTCAGATTATGGAGATATTTCTCTAGGAATGAGCTTACATTAATATCAGAAACTTGCAAGTTCAAGTACAACTACACGCGAAAATAACAAAATTCTTTCTGATTATTGTCTCTAAATCTATGTATCATTGAGTTCAAATCGAGAAAACCGTTAGTTAGTTGAGCATGAGCCTAACCACGTATGTTTAGATTTCCAAATTAGAAGATTTAAATCTTATCATAAGTTTCTAATGCTAAAAGGATACAAATCATCGACATTAGCCAGAAATTTCATTAAAATTTTTTATACATCTCGATTTACAGAATTTTGTTCGCACAACAAACTTGAATTTGCAAAATACATTTTCGAAAATTACTAGAAATTTTAAAATCTTATATGAATACAGATATCATCTCTTTTACACATTATTAAATAGATAAAGCAAAATGTCGATCGTAGCCGAATTTCCAACCGGTACTTTGAGTAATGCATCTAATAAATACAAATCAATGGACGATTCAGTGAAACCATTCTATAAGAAAAAAGAAGGCTCTCAAAATCTTGCCACTACTATTAATCGAATACAAACACTAATTAAATTAATAAAGGGACCAGGCATTCATCCTGTCGGCTATATGCGTTAGATATGAATCCATTTACTATTCATTCAAAAAGTCAACCTAATTGTCCATTCATACGTTCTATGATACCGATTTCATCATTAAATGTACTGGTGCCTAACATGTTACCAACAAATACTACTCAAAATGCATTTGTACCGGCTGTAGAAGAAAATATTTCTACTTTTCAAAAGATAAAAACGATGGACTTTGGATCAGTATCAAATGCTATACTGGAAGACGCTTCACTTCGACAAGTGCGAATACGTACTTTTTCTCGTTGGTCACATCGTACTGTTCCATCAAGTACACAAATGATTGAAGCTGACTTCTTTTTCTTGCAATGTTGGTGATCGAGTAATATGCATCTATTGTAATCTTATTTGTCAACAATGGATATCATCCATTGATGATCCATGTGAAGTACATAAAATACTATCACCTAATTGTATATATGTCACAACAAAATTGATGAATCCTACAGTTTCATCAATAATTATTGTTAACGAAAGTTCAACAACAAATATTGCTTCATCAACATCAAATCATCTCAGTTCTATACGAACTAGTGATATTGTATTTAGAGCATCATGTAATCCTACTTATTCAACAATACTAAAACATCAGGCATCGTTTGCTATGTGGCCAAATGAAAATTTACCACAAGTAGATGATTTAGTTTGAGCAGGATTTTTCTATACAGGTGCAGCAACCACTGTTACTTGCTTTTATTGTAATGGATCATTACAAAATTTGGATTCACATGATAATCCAATGATTGAACATGCTCGTTGGTTTCCGTATTGTGCATATGCTAAACCACTGTGTGGTGAGGAATTATATCGTAAAATTCAAAAATATAAACGAATTCAACAAAGTAGTTTATAAAAATCATTAATTTTTACTAGAAATTTATTCATTTTTTTTGTTTTGATAGAACGTGTTAGAGCTAAAGAATTAAGAGAAGAAGCAGGCTCAAATGATCTGATAAATATTAATGTAACACGAAATGGTGGGAAATTATTAATACCAGATGAATGTACTTTATCCAGCTGGTCGCTGCACGATTAGACCTATCGATTTCACAAAATTTATTAGATCAAAATTTTAAATTATCTATTATAAAACAATGTTGGGAAGATCAATTACGAATAAAACGTGTGTTAATCAATAAACTATTGCTTTATATTTTTCTTTTTTTTACTTATTTTTATTCAGATGATGATTTTGTACCGGATTGTGATTTATATATTGCTTGTTTAATTCTTCGAAAACAAATCAAACATATTGATGGTAAAAAAGAAAATATTGTTATACCGAGCATAAAAATGAAACAAATAAGAGAACAAAATGATGAGTTTATTATAGATATGCTTCTCATTTTATGTTCTTATTGTCTAGCGATAGGAATGAGCGAAGAAAAATTAACTACAGCTAAAGAAGCTCAATCCATAGAAAATCATACAGATGCCGAAGTGAATATATCATCGCAATCATTGACAAGCAGTGGTAATGAACGTGACGCGCAAAAAAATAAAAAAATAACTAATGTCAATGATCAAAGTCAATCAAATGATTCTCAATCATCGAATCTTTGTGTTCTTTGTATAACAGAAGAAAAAAATTTAGCTTGTATACCATGTGGCCACATGTCAACATGTGTCGCATGTGGTCATTCGTTGCGGTTGTGTCCAATATGTCGACGAGAGATTGACGCATTTATTAGAATTTACATTTTATAAAAAATATTTTTTCTTTTACCTAATTTTAGTTATCGTCAATGAGTTTTGCATCTACTCGAAATCAGAAAATTACATTTATACTAGAAACAGCTGTTTTTCAATAGCATGTAAAAGCGAAATAAATGTTCATATTGTTGGAAATATTTTTATCTTTTTGATGAAATTTGCTAATTTCTTTAATCTTACTTAAACAAGATATTGATATAATAAAAAAATTTATTCTGAATTCTTGATGTTGACGACAAATGATACGCACTGTACTATTTGGTGTTTGTCTGTTATTTTTCTATAGATTTGTCTTATGAAGTTCGCCTCTTGAGGGTATGCGATTATATTTTCTCCTTTTTAGCATCCCATCTACATTCTAACTGATTACAAGCAACAAAAAGGAATGGTTGCATTTCTTCTATTGTTTTACAATGATTTTTTAAATAACATTTTATATAGTTTCTCTTCAGTACGAACGGTTGGTTTTTATTGACTTGAGAAAATCACAAGCTCTATTGTTAATCACATTTTGAATGATTCATTAGTGGATAAGTAGCATATAAAAATATTTTTCGTCATGTCTTGCATCTCTTCTTTGTTCGTTCCAAATAGTATTCGCAGACTGACTAGTCAATTGGCTATATTTGACAGCAGAAAAAGAAAAAGACGATAGACTCTTGTATAAGAAAAATCGTGGTAAAAAAAGCATGCCTTGACTATACTCAAAATAATTTTGTTTTTTTTTCAAAAACTTCATTCAAACAATATTTTACTCGTCTGGAAGAAAAAAGAAGAAGAGAACCAAAATAAATATTTATAAGTCAAAAAATCTCTTGCCATCTGAAATGAACAAAAGTTGTCTGCATAATGTTCGATATGCAAGTGATTCTTTGATTTTTCTATCAATCAGATAAACGTTGCAAGAAATGAACTGTTGCTTTTTAATTCGAATAGAAAGTCAACTTAGTTATTGACAGTTATTTGTGTCGTCAGATAACGGGTCGCTGACATAATGACTAGTCCTTAGGGTGTGATTAGATAGATATGAAGTTGTGGACCTTGTTTCTTTGAAGTGAATATCATCACACCCACACCCACACCCTATCCGCATCACTTAATTAGAAGAGGAATACGGGAAGGGGAAGTAATCGTTAAAAAGATGTTAAACAAAACTCAAAAATATACAGCAAAATTCTACCTTGAAAAAGAACATATTTTTTATATTAAAATATTATGGAATAGAATCAGCTATCTTCGCACAAAGAATTAAACATATTTGCAACAAATATTTGCCTCTCTTTAATATTAACATAGCGTTTAAGAAAACCTTCCCAATAAAAAGCACACTCTTACCTATTCAAAAAGGTGAAGATAAAACCAAGAACACGAAAAAATTAGTTTATAAAATTCCTTGTATTAACTGTGAAAAATACTGTATTGGGGAAACCGGACGAGAAAGATCTACAAGAATGAAAGAATATTAGAAGGATATAAGAAACATATCAGACTCATCAAAGATAGTCAAACACGTTAAGGAACAAAGCATCTATTTAATTTTAATCAGGTTGAAACATTAACTTATGAAAATAATTGGACTCGTAGGATCTTTAAAGAAAGCTTATATACTCAACAATCACATGGCCAATCACTTAATGATGTAAAGTTTAAATTAAATGTCTTCGGTTAACTCCCAACGCCGCAAGGCTATTTTGTGGGCAACATCAGTTCTCCGAACATATAATTCGCGAATTATCTTATCTATCCATTAGCCTAATTAAACATTGTATATAAAAATAGAGTTATTTTCTTTTTTTCTTTATTGTTATTCCTGACGATGATAGGTGTAACCTGTCGAAAGCTTGAATAAATTGATTTTTGTTAAAAATCTAACAATGTTCTTTGTAGCAGTCTTATACTCAATAATTTCTCGTTTACATTCTACTGCTCTCCAACCTCATTACTTACTTGAATAGTTGAATAGTTGAATAGTTGAATACCTGAATAGTTAAATACTTGAATAGCTGAATAGTTGAACAGTTGAATACTTGAATAGTTAAATACTTGAATTCAACTTTCAAGTTTGACACTACTGTACAATAGAAGAATGAGAAGAGCACCAAGACGAAGAGAGCATACAACAGATATCAAAAGTGTAGAACAGATAGATGAATTCACCTTGCTTGTGCGTGTTATAATAAAGAAGAAAGCGCGATGAATCAAACTGAATTCGTCTCAGTTTACATTTGATATTTTTCACGTCCTCACAGTCTAGGGATTTGTGAATCGGCATCCGATGAATTCTACTTGATGCTCTCGGCATTTTCGTTTTTCACGCTTTCCTCTCGACATTTTCATTTTTTACATTTTGTACGCAATGATATTAACAAGGTTGATTTCGACGATGTTTCATTTTCTACGTCGTATATGCACATGTGTACATGAAAAAAATATGTGCAACTCTACTTTATGCATCGCTTTGATTCTTCTAGTTTTTGTGCTTCAAAGGCATCAGATGTACACCCAGCAAATTCCTTTCATTACGCTGGTGAGCTTTGGTGACTCAAACACAGATACAGGCAATGTATACAAATTGTCAAATTATTCATGGCCGCCCGTTCCTCCATATTATCAAGGTCGACTTACCAATGGTCCAACGTGGGTTGAGAGGTTGGATGTTTCTAAGCTGATAAACTATGCCTATGAAGGTTCTTCGACCGATGATAAAGTAATTCAAGGTTGGGGAGTCATGGATATGCAACGCGTGCCTGGCGTTCGCCAACAGATAGAAATTTACTTAAATGAGACTCGCAGAGACACAATTGACTTTGATCAAACTATCTATATAATATGGGCCGGTCTCAATGATTATTACTTCAATGAAACCATCAGTCCATCGATAATTGCGACCAATCTATTGAATGCAGCCAAAGATTTGATCGGAATAGGTGCCTTACATCTCCTTATGTTCAATCAACCACCTCTTCAATCGTATCCATTTATTCATATTATGAATCAGAGTCTCAATTTTACTGCATTCACAATTAAACTTAATGCCAATCTTTCGATTGGTTGCGCAACACTTCAACATGATAATCCAAAGATTTCTCTAAAATTGTTCGATCTCTACTCGCTCATCTCAAGGATCATCGCTAATGGGCCCGCGTAGTTATTCAAAAACACGGTTGATCCATGTTTGAATATTACAATAAATGGAACAGTTTTACACCAATGTGTTGATCCAGCTTCACATATATTTTTTGACGAGTATCATTTTGCAAATCATGTACACCAGTTGATAGGTGACGGCGTTCGTCAATTTCTTTCATCTTCATCTTATACCAACGATCCTCCGTTTTCGATGGTTGTTCTATTTTGTTGGACACTATTATTATGCCGATAAATGAAACATTCTCTCACAAGCAAGGGGGAAAAAGCTGAATCCGTGATTTCATTGATGCTAAATGATTACGGATGATTCCATATAATTCTATTGATTCTATGTGATTCCATCGATTCTGTGTGATTCCACTGACCCTGAAACCAGATCGAAAAGCTGCTTTCAGGCCTTCGAAATCAGTGGAATCGCTCAGAATCACTGAAATTACTTGGAATTACTTAGGGATGTACCAATCCCTTAGGACTGAATACCAAGGAGATTGACCTAGAGTTAATTCAATAAACAGTATTTATTTTTTTGAGTAACGATCTTCGGGCTCGAGGAATCTGAATCTGCCGTCAGTTTCTTGAAATTTCGAACTTGATTTTTTTAGTCAAACAAAGGATTCTTACGAAAAAAACGATTATTTATAAAGTTTGATCAAAGATTTTCATGGTCGCGGAATCTGCATCTGTAATCAGTTTCTTAAAATTTTGAGTTTGACTTTTTTTTACCAAAAAAATCGTTTTTTTTCTTGAAAATATTCTTTAAGTGAAAAAACTATTTAAAACAAAAAACATCACCTTCTCATTAGAAAAATGTTTTTTAAAAGAAAAACCATTGTCTTTGCTAAAAAGAAATTTTTTAGTAAAAAAAAAGTCAATCTCAAAATTTTAAGAATCTGATGGCAGATTCGGATTTCTCGACTCTTGAAACCTTTGGCCAAACTTTATAAAAAATCGTTATTTTCTTAAGGCATCCTTCTCAAAAATCGATCTTAGCTCAGAAACATCCAAATTGCATGAAACTTTCAGAATGTGTTGGGGTTGGTGAGCGATGGCTATGGTAAAATTTTCAGCTCTATATCATGACGTTTGACAGAGATATTCACCAAACAAGGGTCAAAAGTAGCTCTATCGTAGCGCCAGGATTTCTCTGTGGGCTTTCATTTTATAAAGTTAAATTTTTTTATATGAAAGTTTCTGTCTAGGCCTAGCTCCTCCTGTAGTCCTTTTTTTATACAATACTCATTTTTTGAGCAAAGAAATGGGATGACAAGTTTAATGACTCAAAAAACCCTAAATAAATGGTGTTGTTTTTATAGAGGTGTTTTCTTATATGAAAATAAAAAGACTTTTCAAAATAAAGAATCACAAGGAGGGGCTAGCCCTAGACATGCTTGGAAACAAAAAAAATATTTGACTTTATCTTTTACTATGATAGAGTTCTGCTGGCGTTACGTCGTTGAGCCCACGTTCTGAGAAAAACGAAACATGATTTTCAGTTTTTTGTAAAAAAAAAATGGCTTGTTTTTCGAATAGGGGATGATGCTAATCTTCCAAAATTTTTGGAAAAAAAGGAGGTGTCGAATAAAAATATTTGTCGCACATGAAAGAGTAGATAGCGGGCTATTTCTCCATGAATTTATCTTAATTTCGATGATTCTGGCGAAAAGGGTCTTAAAAAATCCTTTGTTTGGTGAAAAAATCAAGTTCAAAATGTTAAGAAGCTGATAACAGATTCAGATTCCTCGAACCCCAATTATCTTTGGTGAAACTTTTAAAAATATTGTTATTTTCTTAAAAAACCCTCTGCTTGCTGAAAAAATTGAGTATCAAATTTTAAGAAACTAATG